AAATGAAAATATTTGTTAGATATTTTATTTATTTAATGTCAAACCCTATAAAAAACGATGTAAATAAGGAAGTAATTTTTTGACATTTAAAATCAATTAATTGATTATCAGTATTTTAATTTGGAATAAAGTTAAAATTTCGGTTTTCAAAATTTAAAATGAATGTACCTTTCTTGCTGATTTATAGATTACATTAATTGAAAATATTAATTAGATAATTTATTTATTTAAAGTCAAAACCTATAAATAAGGAAGTAAATAATGTAGTAAATTATGATTATATCGACTGTAAATATGTATGTTACAATTTTTTTAAAAATTAATTGGGATTGATTGTGAGGAATATCACTTCAAAGGTTTCTGACTTATATTTGATTAAATAGATATATCTATATCTACAAAAATAATCAATAAAAGTCACAAAGTATCGTTCACCATGCCTTGTTGTGGATCTTAAACGGTCTAAACATATATGTGTGTATAAGGTCCAACAAATCATTGCCTCTTTCATAGTTACATATGAATGGTGCTTATGTCATCTTGCAAAGTAAGCATGATTTACATACATGTCAAATGATTCCAAGATATCGTTCGATTGAAGCTTGGTGATATGTTTCTTTTTTATATGGTCAAGACGACGATGCCACATACATGATTTATCTGAAACATTTTCGGAAGAATCAATGTTTATGATTAGATTATTAGATTTACTAACACAAATAACATTTTCATATGTACCATTATTAGATTTACTAACACAAATAACATTTTCATATGTACCTTTCTCTTGAGACCTTGATTGGACTGTCCAACCAAGGTATTTCACTTGCCTTTAGGAGGAGAAACCTTTTTCCTTTTAGCAGTACCATGGCCAATGGTCAATCATTAATATACCCAAAATGTGCACTTTCAACTTTGGTTGAAATTAAAATGTCAGGAATATATGAACCATGGACCATGATTAAAAATTAAAGATTAGGCCCATTAGCCTTTTTGCAATGTACAGGTTCCACAAACAATAACAAGAACAAACCCTAATAACTCTCCTTTCATCGTACACAACCGAGAGAATTAGAAGAAAAATCATTTAGATTGGGAAAGAGAATTCCAGGAAGGAGTAACGTAATTGATTCTTAGAACTATCAATGTAAAAGTTGGTAAGTTTTATTACATGTCTAATTTGAAGTTCGTAACGATTCAAAAATGAAAGATGTATATAAATGTGCGTGTCTTCTAATTTCTTAATCACTACAACATTGATTACCATAATGATTTTTAATTTGATTTTAAGTGTGAATGGAAACAATATCATGAAATAAAACTTGTGATGAAATAATTTATGCCTTAACAAAAATATGAAAAACGAATTAAAAGGGGTTGTAGAAAATACAAACACTATTATTTTGTTAATATTGTTGGAAAATCATTTCGATGATGAATCGACCATACAAACCATCATGTTATGCACAACCTGCTTTTTACCGTACAAATAACTAATAGTTAACATGATATTTTTAGACATTTTTATTTTCAATATATAAGAGCACGTGGGCTTTTCATTAATACATTAATTGTTGTATAATGAGTTGAATAAGCTTATGGATAACTTTATAGTGAGGTATATTCATAACCATTTTAAACAAATCTTTTATGGTTCTTTATTATTATTATTATTATTATTATTATTATTATTATCTTATTTTATTTATTTATTTTTTTAAGAACAAATATAAGTATTTTGTTTTAGTGTTAGTCTGTACTATGAATTTTAGGTCCATCCATAGTTGATTAGGAATCATCATGATCTTTAGTTACTTTTTAAAATATATAAATTTACAAAATTAGTATATAAATTTTCTTAATATGCCATGTGAGTTCATTTGTAACCAGGAGCTACTTAACTACTAACCAAATATAACATTATATTTTACCACTTTTAGGACACCAACTTTTATATACCTGAAAATTATAAGGCTTAAATTTGAAATTTCTCATGAAATAGTGCATGATAAGTAACAAATTTAGACCAATAATTTTTCAAAATTATACAAACACGATCAGTAACAAAAACAATTTAATCTAGTGCCTCGAATAAATAAAATGAATAATCCCTAAATAATTAACTTATTAAAAAAATAGAATACTTACTCTAGTATATATCAGTAGACATTTTCAGCGTGTTATATAGATGGAGAGAATATCTTCATGACTAAGTATAACCTCTAGATCAAACAATTCTTTGAAATGATACATAAATTGCTACAAAGCAAGTATGTTAAACCACTCGTTAATAGGTCACCTAGTAAGACATGTTAAGCTATATGTCATAGAGACCCATGTTCGAATCTAAAGAGATGCTAAGGGATGTCGAGTGTATGATGTGTAATGCAGTGCTGTCAATGGGAACAATTTTTCAATTTGGGTCATAACTTAGGGATCCACAAAATATAAAACTATTCACGTTGCTCATAACTAAAATATCTTATATGGTTACAATCACTGTAGTAGAAAGGATGTATTGTACCTATTCATTTTATGATTACCTTGATACATTGAAGTTAGAAAGATTTATCTTTTTGGAACATTCATTTATTTTTTTCAAGGCATATAACATCTTTTCTTTTACTGTAGAATCATTTCACAACTCTAATAATACATGAATTTTATTTTACTAGGAAGTATAAATATATGTCATAAAGCATTCTGAAGAATTGAAACCTATTAAGAATCTTTCACATAAACACACGCTTGAATTCATCGATTAGTGCCAAGATCAGGGTTATAATTCCATCCACTCACTAGTTTCCTCTATCTTCCTTGATTAGCTTTACAATGAATATGGTAAATAATTTTCTTTTGTATGAGTCCATGACAATTCAAGGATTGTAGTTTCCAAATGGCACCCTTTGTGTATCATTGCTTTTTTAGAAAGTATAATTTCCACTCCATTTTTATGGTTATAATTCTTATTATATTTCAAATAAATTCTTGTCATAAGCTTTGGAGAATATATTGTGTTAGATCGCTTGGTACTAAAAGTTCACCGTTGCTCAAAGGTTGCAAACCATACATTAACTAAGTTTAGATAGTCCTGCTAGAAGAAATTTAAATCTCTAAATTATGACTTATGTATGATTTAACCATTTGTGCTTTATCATCATGTTCTTCGTTATTCAAAGTTTGGTCTTAAAAATAGCGTATGTATTTCTAATATGGAAATTTCTCCTGTAATCATGACAAATCAATTTCAAGTATCTATAACAGGCATAAATTTAGTGTAGGTTTCAGAATTTTGATACTTTTTATGGTTATAGTAGCGGCTATTCATCTAGACATAATTTTATATATATATATATATATATATATATATATATATATATATATATATATATATATATACACAAATTAAATTAGTGTTGCCCCATTTATGGTCAAGTTTTGGGAAATTGAAAGAGTGTGGTTTCTTTCAATCATGAATCCTTCATTACGTCTATTAGTTTATAAGCAAAGTCCTTGCCTTTGCTACTAGTACACACATATGCAATAGTGAAACATACAAGCAACCATAAGCTGCAATAAGCTTATTCGGCAATTTAAATTTTCTACATCATAAAGTCATCATAGACGTAACAATAATACGATCATCATATTGTTAAAGAAACATGTGAAGAACAACAATTTATAACTATAAATAATATTGACTTATACATTTGGGCTTGTCCCCACCATACTTTTGGGTGAACTTTGCTTGGGTCACTAGATAATCACCCGTTTTAGCTTGCATTTTTGGATCGCAATATTGTGTTGGTAACCTATCTACTTTATATCAGTACCCATGATGTAATGTCAAGCGGACCTCTACACATACGAGATACCCATGGATAACTAGGTAGTCCCACATGAACACCATTTTCAAGATAAAAATCATAATAACCATAAAAATAGCTATGTTTACTCACCTTGATATTTCATGGTTGAAAAATTCCTAACTCCTTGTATTGATTTGCTCCCAATAACTGAGAAACTTGTGTTTTACCATCCATGACTTTCTATTGTCAACATACACCACTTTAAATAGCATCAAACAAGTCTGAGTTATATAAATCCACAAATCTACTTAATATTTACTATAGTTTAGTCTAATTTTAGTGTTTTTCACTTCAATTGACAACAATAAAAACAAACCATCATACAAGATCTAATTTATTATCACCACAAGTAGATACCAAATCAACTACTTAGGGATTCATGAATCTAGATATAATTATGGAATAAACAAAATACTTTTTACCTCTTATTTTGTAGCTAAACATGTAATATAATCTACTTACTAAATTTCATCAGTAAGTACTCGTTCTTCATGATTGGCAAATCCTTTTCCTTTTCCCTAATTCGAAGGATAGAGAATGAAGAGTGTTTACCATTTTGATCGTGGGTAAAAGTGATTGATAATTGTTGATGAAAGACTAATCAATTTGATATTTATATAATTTACCCTAATCATTCCCCTGTAAGTCTCTTTTAATGTTTAAAATTGAACCACACGAAGAATGTTGTGAAATAATAATTACTCACCTAATTAAAGACAAACCATTTTTCACACGTTAAAGTTGCGTTTACCGAGAACCTTTTTTTTTCTTAATTTTTTATTTATTTTTTTATTTTTTTAATGTGCTGCCCACAGTGGTTGGCCAACTGAAAATCTTCAAAAATACGATATGATTGGGCCACATATATTGTCCTTTCAGATGGTGCGCGGGTCACATGTAATTCTTTCTTTTATCGTTTTTGACGTAGCTTTCACTGCCACCACTTCATTAAAGTAGATAAGTTCCAATCATCCATAGTTTGTAACAGATGGTCATGATAGGTCGTTTTATAAACGACCATACATCATTCCTTGTGTATGTTCATCTAGATAGTTTGTTTTTCATGGCCTATTCTTCTGAAGGTATTTAAGCTTAAGATGAAACTCGAGATGGAAACAAGTTAAAATCCTTATGGTGTTTCTACTTTCTTGGATTATCCTTGGACCTGCAAAGCCCCATGAAGATCTGTTGGTCTGCATATTGGAGGAAGGAAAGGTTGGGCCTGGAGTTATGCATGTCAATCCGGTGAAAGAAAAAACATGTCCCTGGACGTGTGATAGGTTGTAGGTTGATTGGGCTGCAAATTAATGTTTCTTTCCTGTGTTCTATTCCTAAGCAATGCCCACGACTCCAAGATTGGTATCGGTTTGGACAATATCAATAGAAAATAAATGCCCAAAAGATAACAGGCTGCTTCTCTCAAGAGTCAAGACTACAAGCGATATATATGAGATTTCTGGTCATTTACCCTAGGCGTGCCAAACATATCTTCTGCCGCCGTCAGATCACGCACCTGATCACTGTCTGCTGAAACGCTGCTATCCGATTTTTATTTCTACGTTCCATCTCTGCAGCTCTCCATCGTCTTGTCGATTATAGAACGTTTTACCTTCTGTCGTTGATGATTGCTATTTTTATCCTCTTATTGGCGCCGGCTCTAAAGAAGAGGAACAAATAAATAGCAATTATAAGTTGGAGATTCTTCTGGAAGATCAAACTCACCGGATAATCAAGGAAAGAAGGTAAAACAATGACTTTATCCTTGAGTCTGATTATATAATCATCAGTCATTTTTGGCATTCAGATTTCTAGACCTGTAGACCTAATCCAAAATTCTTTTTTGTTCGCTTAATTAAATATGTATGTGGCAGATTCAGTCGTCCAAGCAGGCTAAAGATCAATCAACTACGGATATGAGGACAGGAATCAAAAAACGAAAGAGGAGAAATAAGCAGCAAAATACTGTTGAACTTGCACCTTCTTTTTGGAACAGGATCTGTCCACAAGATGTGGTTGACGCTGGAATGCATCTGAATCCAGCAAAAAAGAATCATTCTGCTTGGTTCAGTTTAACTCCTTCCTGTGATCAGTGAGCTATAAAGATCCCTTTTAAATTTAATCATATAGCTAATAGTATCTTCACCATCTTATCTTTTTTATTTTCTTGTCTTTGATTCGGTACCAACAGAAAGAACACTCTGCAACTTCTAGTGGAACCATACTTACAGATAACGTAAGTACATCGGCCTTTTCAGTATAATGTTGTTTAATGTCCATATAATTCACCAGTTTATTAGGAAATAAATTTTTGACATTCATTTTTCTGGTCATTGTAACTTGCATGTACTGATTAAAAACAAATTATTCTAGCATGGAGGGGAATCCAGATGTGTCTATTCTCATGAAGTATATCGCGTTGCAACTTAAGCATGTTCACCAACAGGAGGTATCTTGTAATTTTTCTGATTCAATTAACTGCGTATAACTTTCGTTAGAGCTCAGTTGTCCGTTAATTGTTCTTTTTCCATGGAGATTCAGCAAATATAGACTTTACTAATAGAACAAGGACGTCACAGTCTCATAGACATGTATTTGTTCTTCTTTTTCATGTTTTTGTATCAGAAAAATATTTTATGTAATGACTTATATTTTAATAATCTGAACAGGTTGGTATCTTCTTGAATGGAAAACTTCTTGCCCCGGAAATGAAGCTGCTTGACGTGGTGAAGCAGTGGATAGCTATTGTTGATTCAGAGAGGAAAATAACCAAGATAGGAAGTTCTGCCGAGAACTTCTGTGTGAAGCTGACTTATGCTTGAAGAGAATAGACAAAACTATGCATTTATAATAAAATCCGACAAATGTTTGTTCCTTAATTATGCCATTTAGCCGATTGACTTTTACAATTTCTTGGTTAATGTTGATGGAATGAATTAATTAGGTGGTTCCATGGTGATTATTAGACTTTTAAAATTAATAATGGTTACATTGTTTTTGAGTAACCAACTAGCAATGATCTTTGAAAATAACATACATCGGAGTTAGGGCTCATTGACAAGTTCTAAATTTTTAAGATCTGAATTTATAAAACTTCTAAATTTCTAAGAGTTTGAATTTTGAAGATCTAAGTTTTAAAATGTTGTTTAGTTGAAACATTTGAATTGTTGTGCATAATGATAAAAATGACCATTCCCTTAAGTTTTATGTATTATTTTTTATAAAATAACTGACTAAAGTTATAAAATAATTATAACAAAGATTTAACACAATACAAAATCAAAATTAAACATATAATAACTTATTCATAACATATCATAACCATAAACTTTGCTCCCAAACATCTGCTAGTAAATTCCACAGCTAGAAAGGACCAAGTCAGATAAATACAAAAATACTTTCATTTCATTTGCAATTTGGTTGTAACGAGCCAAAAATACCGCTAAAATTTCATTTTCAAAACACCCAAAAAGATACAAACAAATGTTCCAAAACCAACCACAATATAAATATTCTCAACATCAGAGTAAACCCAAATAACAATGAGGAATAAAAATCAAGGGGGTGTTTTGATCACGGCGGACCATTCCCTTTGAAACCAGAAACACCTGAAATGTTTTAACCTTTCAACTATAAGCATAATGTTCAGTGAGTTCATCAAAATACCACATACGATACGTAACATTAGGTCCCACCCTCAAATTTGCCCCGCGCATCATAACGAGCCCTGCGTAGCATACAAATGGGTCTTACCCAACATACAAACGAGCTCGTCCAACATACATGCAAGAGTCACAAAGACAGCTAGCATCCTACACGGTATAGTGAGAAGACTCACCTCACTCATAAAGTCATACAAATCCCAGCTCGACCTCACGAAATAGGTGTTACAACCCACCTATCGAGTCACACAAGGTCACACCTTAGTCTACACTTTAGAACTAGCAATATGACCAAAACTCAAGGTCAAAAAGTCAACGGTCAATGTTCTTTGACGATATATATACATTCTATATTTTTGTATTTGATTTTATCCATACAATGTTTATCCTTTCCTTATTTACACGAATGGTTCTCTATTTATAATTGATTTTGTATAATGAGAAGAATCAATCGAGAATACCATTTTTATGGTATCAGAGCCTTGCCCTAGCCCTAACCGTCGCTGCCCTCTTCTTCACCAACATCCATCTCATAAAACATTGTAGCACCAGGCGAATCTTCTTATTCTTGGAAGACACTATTCCACCCAACATTCACTGTCACTAACATTAAGAATGGTGTCCCTCTCATTCTGAATCAAACTGAATAGCAATATGCTTCGTGGGTACTGTTTCACATCCACACATGTGTTTAGAATCTCCTGAACACATTGATCCGAACACTCCGTGGCCAACATACATCAAAGAAGAAACATGGAATCGTCTTGATGCTATTGTTAAATCATGGATTTACAACACCATATCCATTAATTTACTCCAATCAATCATGAAACCCAGCGCAACCGCTCGTCAGCTTTGGACCCGTCTTTAGGAAATTTTCGAAGAACAAAAAACTACCAGAGTTGTTTATCTCGAAGAACAGTTCAAGAACACTCGCCTCTCCGCGTTCTCCAATATGTCGGATTACTGTGCTTATCTCAAAAATCTTTCAGATCAGCTCCCTAATGTTGGAAACCCTATTTCAGAAACGAAGATGGTGCTCCAGCTAGTTTCTGGCCTTGCAAATGGAGATTTCGACAATGTTGCCACTATCATTCAACAATCGGACCCACTGCCCAGCTTTAATAAAGCTTGCTCTCAACTTTTGCTTCAAGAAACAAGAAGGAACAAGCAAGACTCCCATCTACAACAGGCAATGATAACTCAGTGACCAAATCAACCTATCTCCAACACACCGCCGACAACACAACATGGCACTGAATACAATGGTCATGGTCAGAGCGATGGTCAACGCGGTAGACGATCATCTTGTGGAAGTCAGTGTGACGATAGAGGCCATGGACATGGCAGATCCATGACGCCCTAATTTCTGTTTTGCCCCAGTTGGTACCCTCAATAGCCATGGATTGCCCTGCGTTGCCCATATCCCATAGCAACTCCGCAAGCCGGTATCATGGCTCCTCAAACCAACTCTTGCCCGATCCCTTCTTCATAGCCGACTCAGTTTGGAGGAAATCAGGTACACCTCAACACAAATCAGGAATCGATTTACAGTAACCCCATGACACCTATAAAACCTGATGATGCCTTTCACACCATGCATATGCAACCTCTAGATAATTCATGGTATATGAATATGGGCTCTACATCCTACCTAACTAGTGACACAGGTATACTTTCTGGTTTCTCTCATTTTCATAATGCAAATTATATTCTTGTCGGTAATGGTACTCGAGTTCCAATTCTTGGTCAAGCAAATGTCGTCACCTCTTTCTCTACTGTTCCACTCCAACTTAACAAAGTTTTTCATGTGCCAAATATCATAAAAAATCTTATTTTTATTAGAAAATTTACTCAGGACAATAATAGTTCTGTTGAATTTGACCGCTTCAGTTTTACTGTGAAGGATCTCAACACAAAGAAGGTTATAACCAAATATGACAACTCCGATGAGATTTATCATGTCACTCCCACAAATCCCATCAAGCATTACCTATCTGGTATTATCACCTCAACCACCTGGCCCAACCATCTTGGTCACCCTGCCGTTTTGCATTTTTGTAATAACGTAAATTTTAAAACAAATTTTTCATTTTTGCAACATCAAAACATCGTTTAATATTCCAAATTCAAATGTGAACAATGTTATCATAAACAAATACACCCCATGATCATAAAAACTGTTTCTCCGACAGTGTGTACAATCACGCCAGCGCCTTCCCACGGTCCTCGCTAGTACCTGAAAAACATAACACAACAACTGTAAGCATAAATGCTTAGTGAGTTCCCCAAAATACAACTTACGCATATACGCCTTTCCAGGCCCTGACCTTTCGGTCCATGTGTCTCAGGGGACTTCCGTCCCGACTAGGTAAACCTTCCGGTCCTACCTGCATCAACCTTACGGTTCACATCACAACACCTTCCGGCCTATAACATATACGCCTTCCGGCCCATAACATAATGCCTTCCGACCCATATCAAGCATATCATACATGGCAGATATAAACGATTAACTTATCACATACAATACATATAACTCATAACATATCCGACCTTCCGGTCACACAATAAAACCCTTCCGGGTATAGTATAGTGAGAAAACTCACCTTGTGGAAAGTCTAAGATCTTGCGTACTCGCTATCTCCAAATCCCAACGACGACTCTACCTCGCCTAATCATAAAAATATCATTTAATAATCAAAGACTTCCACAACTAAAACTTTACCCCTTATCATCATTCCTCAGAGGGTAAAAGACCATTTTACCCTTCCTTGACCCAAAGTCTTCATGTTGACCAAAACCCTAAAAGTCAACAAAAGTCAACCCTGTGAGTACGCGGGGCGTATTGCTTGATGTACGCGGGGGGTACATCACCAACCCATGGATCGGGGTCTCCACCTAGTACGCTGCGCGTACTGGGAGTTACGCCCAGCGTAACCATCAGATTCTAACATACTTCATTTATGGTCTTAATCGGTTAAGCCATTACTCCAACTTCTAGATCCGACTCTGTTTATGCGTCTAAACCTATAAAGTCGAGACCTTTAAGCCTTGGCATGGCTGTAAAGGCTCCAACACTTCTTAACATCATTCTATTCCAACTCAAGGACCTAGATCTCATGCATGGTGCAACATTCACGTCCAAGATATCATTTTTATGAGTCTACAACTCCAATAGACCAGAAGTATGATGGATCTAAGCTTATGGAGACCATTTGCACAAAAAGTCTCCACCTTTGGGACTAAAACCCTAGAAAATGGTACTTGAAGCATATAACATGAACCAAGTGACAAGATCCGAACTTTTTACATGATAATGAAGCTTCAAACCTTGCAAAGCTTAGATCTACACTTGAACACCACTTCTAGCCTTCCCAATGAGCTCTTCTTCTCCTGTGCTACCTTGGAATGGCACCACCAAGCTTAGAATACGAACAAAATGGCCTAAGAATGAATGCACACTCTCTTTAGGGTTTCTCTTTGAGGGATGGTGGCTGAGAAGTCCAGCCCTACATTCCTTTTATAGCCCTCCAAAGGAATTAGGGTTTTTAGGTCTGGACCGGTTACGCCTAATGTAACCTTGGGTACGCCCAGTGTACCTGAGGGTGAACGCGTCCAAATGAAGTGCGCGAGTACGCGCAGCGTACACCTTATACGCCCAGCGCACTCGCCTAACATGAAAGCCCTAAAATGACAACATGACAAAGATCCAGGGCCAAATAGAAGGATACCTAGATTTCGGGCTGTTACAATTCTCCCCCGCTAGAACCAGACTTCGTCCCCGAAGTCTCATACTGAAAACAACTCCGGATAATGATCTCGCATCTCAGACTCAGACTCCCATGTCAGCTCGGACCCTTTCCGATGTTGCCACTGCACTTGTACCAAGGGTACTTCCTTGTTCCTCAAAACCTTAACCTTCCGATCCCTGATCGCCACTGGTCTCTCCACATAGTTCAGGCCTGCATCCACCTGAATATCATCTAATGGTACCACTGTCGACTCCTCGGCAATACATTTCCTCAACTGCGAGACATGAAAGGTATTATGGATCTGTCCCAACTCAGCAGGTAGATCCAACCGGTAGGCTACCCTGCCTACCCTAGCAATTACCCTGAAAGGTCCATATACCGAGGTCCCAACTTGCCCCTCTTCCTGAATCACATCACTCCTTTCCAAGGAGAGATCTTTAGGAGCACAAGGTCTCCAACCTGAAACTCGAGCTCGGACCGACGCCTGTCCGCATAACTCTTCTGGCGACTCTGCGCGGTCAACAAACTCTTCCTGACCTGCTGAATCTGCTCGGTCGTCTGGAGTACAATCTCCGTGCTACCCATCACCCGCTGCCCCACCTCTCCCCAACAGATGGGGGTGTGATACCTCCTC